TGTATGTGTATGTGTATGTGTATGTGTATGTGTATGTGTATGTGTATGTGTATGTGTATGTGTATGTGTATGTGCTTTATATAGTATATAATTTATACTTTATATATATATAATACTATGTATACTCTAGGCATAGACACTGAGGAGTAAATTCAGAATAAAACATCTCATGTTATAATCGGCATTATATTGTAGATAAGTATATACAGGTATTCTGTATATCGTATATATATATACTGTATATATATATATATATATATAAATGTGTGTATTTAACGACATTCAAAATATAATATGTTGTTTTTTATGTATTATATAATTATAAGATTTGCTGAGAAAAAATTGTTTTTCAAATGTTAGCTACAAAAATAAATAAATAAAAAATAATTTATATTAAATTTTTACAGAGAATTAGGAGGAGTATTGAAGTAAATAGAGAAGAGTTTTGTATGTATTAGTTATGCAACGGTTTTGTTAGCTATAAGTGCTTAAAGCATCCATTAGGAAGAGAAAGAGTGTCCTCACTATGGATACAGACGTCAGTAATGACGCAAAACTGGTATCCCATCTCCCGGTTTCCATGGAAATGGTTTCGAGGAATCACCAAAACATTGATTGCATGAAGTGATGCAATTCAATACATAGTTCAATGTCAAGGTAGTGGTGATGGTGTTTGCAGATGCTCTGCAATGTCTATATATCTAACAGAGCAATAGCTGTCTCTCCACCTAAACCAATGCTGCTGTGCATCAAAACAAGGCATTCAATTTCTAGGCTTATGAATCGCTTGATGAGCACTGGTATGGATTGTTTAAACAACTATTCTCTAATTGCTTGACTATGATACTGATGTTAGGCAATGAGTTGCAGCAATCGAGTCAAACATTTTAATTTATATAACTAATACTGACATAAATTCATTGAATACAATAATATATGAATAAAAGCATTGAAAGTATGTGGGCTTTACTGTAACGCAAAACAAAAGACTTTTGATATTTTGTTTGTTAGTAATAATAGTTAAAAACAATGTTCTATTTGTTAGAGAAAGAAAGAAAGAAAGAGAGAGAGAGAGAGAGAGAGAGAGAGAGAGAGAGAGAACCGGGATGTAGTGTATAGACATTACCCGTGTGTTTGGTGCAAAACCTCATAATTTGCATACAATGAGGTATTTTCGCTAATGGATTGGATATATCATAAAACATTTTGTTAGACAAAAACTATATATTACTCGAGTGAAACAAAGTGTACAATCAATAAATATATAGCACTGAAATAGTTTTGAGAAACATAGGAGTGTCTGGTCATTGTATACATACTTATGGACCGAATGCTGGCATTTCAAGAGAGTATTTAATAGTAGGCTTCCGTCAACTGACTCATGTATTGCTTAGAGATTTTGAACGACCAGTTTGTTGTTCAATAATTGGTGGGACGAGAAAATGATAGAAATAATGTTACCACAAAAAATTTATTCAACCCTCCAGTCATACACCAGTTGATAATCACTGGTCATACCATTTGTACTCATCATAACTACAACTGTAGCGTAAAATCAGTTTCAAAGTTAACATTTGGCGCACATATTATTAAACTCTCATTATATACGAGTGTAACACTAAGTCCAACTAGTATTCAAAAAATCATTTTATTTTAGTTGCTCTTTCTATCTTTCCCTCCCTCTCCTCCTTTTCTTTAATTGTGTATTAGCTGAGTATATATATATATATATATATATATATAGAGAGAGAGAGAGAGAGAGAGAGAGAGAGAGAGCTGACAAACAAATTCACTATTAATCTAAAGTACAGAATATTCTCCAGAAAGAGACTTAACTAAAACCAGTGTTTAAATGATTTGTGTAAAATCGGTCCACAATATCGTGCTATATATCAATAACCTAAACTATAATTCAAATACCTGTGAATTGGACTTAATATGTGCTCTCAAGGAATGCAATTCTTTGTCTGTCTATTCAAAAGTGAAGTAAACATTTGATTGAGAAGTCATTTATAAATTGTAAAAATCATAGCAATTGTTGTATTGAAGACACAAAACATTTAATTTTGCAAATTCTTTTCAATTTTTAAAAATATATATAAATTGCATTCAATTGTATGAAAATAATAAATAAATATATATTAAAATAAAATTTCTCTCTTTATATTTTCATATGATTTATGATATATATAGATATACAGTATGTAGTGAAATCATTTGTCACTTTTTATTATGGCATCAATAAATTTTTAAAAATAAATAATAGAAAAAAATATTAAATTATTTAAAACTTTTTATAATATTTTCTTTGACGGTATACTCGATATACTGTACTATATAGTAACGAGAAAAAAATTATTGTTATGATTTCAATTACATTACGTAAACCATATAAGTATTATACAGTATATTATTAATTTATTTTTTAAAGTTCACTGCAAATGTCGAGATATCCACACACTGACAGCTAAATTGCAAATATAAACAAAAAAAAACAAGTGCTGTAAGACTACACCCAATATTGCAGATAATGATTACAAAACATTTAAAGGCGTTTACATTGCATTGAGAGTTAGTATTTAATAGCAATTAAATTTATATCATTTTTTTTAATTTTATTATTTTCGAAACTCACATCTAGTAAACAATTTTTTCGGATATACAAAGTTTGTATTACAAACACACGATTTAAGAAAATTTGTTGTTGTTGTTAATTAAAAGGTAAATGACTGAAAAAGTGGTCATAAGTTTAGGATTTATGTTTGTGTTGAGAATCTATGATTGAAAAAAATACTGTATTTATAATTTTTGTCATTTAGTTGAATGCTATAATCAGAAGACATGCACTGTATTTATCACATCATATTCACTGATAAATGCAAATTCATAACTAAATTGTGGTTCTCTAGTCTTCTTCTCATTTCTTTGACTTTAGTATCAGTAAAATACACATAAATTGCATGCAATGAAAACATAATGAGAGCGCTGAGGGCGTACTGACTGTGTAAACGACTGTTATATATCTATGAATTAAAAGGTATTTCATATGATATCTGATGACACGAAAGAAGAGAGAGACACAGAGAGAGAGAGAGAGAGAGAGAGAGAGAGAGAGAGAGAGAGAGAGAGAGAGAGAACTGAGCAAAACTATCATACAATATGTGCAAAAAAAAGATGGAAAGCAATCAAATTAAATATAAGACCAGTTATGTTGTGAGACCAGTTGGTCTACAATCTGTATATACATTCGATGCAAACTAAATGAAAATTCCATCCAATACTGACTCCAACACTACTTTCTAACAAACAAGAGGTCAGTGGCTCTGAAGGCTTCATTGGTGTGCTGTTTGATAGTTAAGACTTTCTAAGGTTTCTCCATAAGCTGTGACTCGAAAGCTCAGACCTGACAGCAGGTGTACAACTGATTTATGCCAACAAATTATTTTAGTAAAACTTATATAAATTTTCAGTCCCTTTGCACTAGAAATTCCTCCCACACTATCACTGCATTTCAAAAGTACTTAATCAGTCAAGACATGTAGCGTAAACCACATTATATAGTATATACCATATTGTTTATCACTACTTAATCCAAACTATCAAAAATCATTCAATGCTTTAACCTTACATTTGATACACACACACACACACACACACACACACACACACACACACACATATATATATATATATATATATATATATATATATATATATATATATACTGTAAATACATAGATAGTCATACCCGCTGTGTCGACCCCCGTAAAGGACACTAACTGTTATGAAATTCAATTTCAACTAAACAGTTCTAAATTATAGCTCACATCGCTATATAATACAATCATAAATATAAAAAGCATAACAAACTTGTACTCAATTGACTAAAACATTCAAACATTAAATATACTGTACGAGTAAATAACTGACTTTATATTAAACTTAAAAAATCTAATAATTTGTTGTGTTATTAAATCTAAATTTTTTCCATAAAAATTGTCTTTAATTATTAGTTTTACTATAGTTTTATTTTTATATGTTTTTTAGTTTGTAATGAATAAAATTTGGGATTTTTCCCAATTACTATTCAAAAACACATATCTCTAAGTTCATGGCAAAAGTGATGTGAGAAAGTTATACACAATTATAAATAAATTCACTTTTTTTTATTACACAGTGCAGTATTGTACAGTACATAACTTTATGTCATTGTATGCACAGGTATTATCTAAAAATATACAGTAAGTTACACAATAAAAATTAAATAGAAAGGAACCGTTGTGTGGGACCTAACTGTATGGTCGCAAATATCTGTACTATCGATGCAATAGTGGTGGGATGTATGTGTGGTGTTGGATGTATTGGACAATAGATGAAACATTTATACATTTATAGTGATTTGTATTAAAAATCAAAGTCGACATCACATTTGAGCAGTGAATGTGATTTCCTCTTTAACAACATTTACGGTCAAAACTAAATCACTGCTAAAAATCATTGCTTCTTGAGATGCAATGCGTGGGAAATGACGTGTAGTTTGGATAAGGGATGACAGGATGTTATGCATTATATAAGAGGGGAATGATTTAACTATTAAAAAGGGAAAGCAGTCCAAGAAATTATGTGATCAGCTTTAATATTAGACCCCACCATCTGGTCCGCCAAATGACCCACCTATGTATGTATGTGTGTATGTGTGCCAATTCAATACATACAGTACTTGTGATTATGCCATACACCTAAAGCCAACTTTCTCTATCAATCCAAGTCTTTATTTATATAATAGTAATAAGAGGCCATATATTTGATAGCAATCCACAGAATCGGAAGCAGTTTTCTGGTGCGGAGTGGGACTCATATACTATATATATATATATACATAACATTACGCTAATACTCCTAACGGAAAGCGTGAGAAAAGCGGGACTTTTCTTATAAAAAGTTTTACTTTTATTTAGCAAAACAAATGCAAAGAAAAACTATCGAGAGTGGAGTCCACACCCAGAAAGAGAAAGTTTTCGTAAATATTGGATCACATTATGAGTACAGGTATTCAAACTGTATTGCGGGAGAGGGAGAGATAGACAGAAGAGAGAGAGAGAGAGAGAGAGAGAGAGAGAGAGAGAGAGAGAGAGATAGTGAGAAACAGTAGAAATAGTAGCCGTTTCCCTATTGTCAGCACATAATGAATGCGACAAAACTAAAGAATAGTCCGATAAATGCATGTATTGCTAGCTATGGCCACCTTAACGGTAATGTTTTCAGAGCTACTGTTCCGACTCAACTACCAGTGCTTCAGCATTGCTGGTGTGGTTCAAGTGCACCGTTCATACAGTAGGTATACAAGTTTGTGCTACTATTGACAAGCGGGTGCACCGATATGCAGTTCCCACGCATTTCTTATTAAAACTTATAGCCTCTCAGTTACAGGTGAGGTAATGGTGCTCTCTCTCCCTCTCCCTGTGCTCTATAATGCAAGCGTTGGACTCGCATTTCTATTCAAAATATTTTCTCATTATATTATATTATGTTATGTTATGCTCTTTGCTTATGTAATGCCTTTGAAGCTGTAATTTCCTTTAGCATTACAATTCAGACCATTTCATTAAAGACCTAATTTTTGAGATTTTTTTTACTCAAAATCAGATATCTTTCAATAACCCATTCATTCATTCATTTACAGCAAAAACTTGTATTATATCTTATAAAATATAATATAGATTTAATATTTTATTTCATATTATTTGAAAATATTAAATGCATTTCATTTAAATTTAAATAAATCACTAATTCCTCTGATTATATCGTATTTCATATAGTTTTCAATAGTTTATATATTTTTTGATAACACATCTCGTGTTTGCCGTTTATATACATTATATTTGATTAAACAAAAAATTGTTTGCCATATAAATGGGGGTTTTATTAATAAATTTTTAGGATTAAAATTTAAAATTCAGTTAAACATTAGTTCAATTTACAAAAAAAATTAAAATTATAAAATCAAATGTGAAAAACATTTTTAAAAAAACATTAGTTTTTCGTTTAAATGTTAAATACATTGAAACCAATGCTGACATCTGTTGTAATTTAAGCACAAATTGAATGCTATTATTGTTTACATTGAATGTCTTGTGTTATATGTTTTGATGACTAAACGTCAAGATATTAACCAAATTGAAGACACAATGGGAGACAACAAAGGAAAACTTGATTGGATGTACAAAGGGGTCAGAGGTTTGGTTGATAATGAAGATTATTTGACGGGAAGAAAGATAGACAAGACTTTTGAGATCATATCGGCCGAAGAAAATCCAACGAAAGGAGACTTAGAAGGTTTGGAGGGATCAGTCCCTCAGTCGGTCTTTGACTTAGAGACCAATACAAACACCAATAATATGGTGACCGTAGACTTGGCCGCTAAGTTAAGAGAAGACCCGTTGTATGAGATTCGGCTCAAACAACGCGAACAAAGACGCAAACTATTAGACAATCCGTTAAAAATGAAAAAACTCAAGAATATCTTGGAGTCAACACTATCTGATGATAAAAAACATAAGAAGAAACATAAACATAGACGAAGTGATTCAGACAGCAGTGATTCGCACCACAAATCTGATGGTAAGAGACATAAAAGAGATAAAAATAGAGATGAAAGAAGAAATGATCACAAAAATAGTAGTAATAGTCATCGACATCACAGACAAGACTCATATCGTGATAGAGATAGACATACAAGGGATTCAAGAGAACGAATACTCGATAAGAAGTTGAGTTCAATTTATAAAAGACATGACTCGAGAATTGAGAAGACATTAAGCGACGAAAAGCAGAGAACAGAACAACAACAACAAAGTCGACCGAAGAAATTGTCAGCCGAAGAGATGGAAAAGAAGAGATTAGAAATGTTAGACAACGCTGTTTGGAGGGAATGTCAGCGCAAAAGTAATGTCAAAGAATTTGCAAATGAAGAGCAAAAAGAAAAAGAGTTCAATGAAAGTGGAAAATCTGCTCAATTTATAAAACCATTACTAACGAAGGCTACGGATGACACTTTGGAAGACAGGATCAGACAGAAAAGGTTTAGTCATCAAAAAGGACACAATTCTATGGACACTAATTTTGCCAGAAGATAGATATCATTACTTTAGTTTTTCTATATATTTTTTAATAGTATTAAATCATAAATCCATTGAAATATATTTCAATTTTTTATTTAAATTTAATTTCACAATAAAGACAAATCATAGTCCAATTGGCGTTTATTCGGTTGAAACAACATTTGTCTTTTCCGAGACATAGATACCGTCCAAAAACTTTCGAATATCTTTGTTTTTAACGAGAGTTGATTGATGGATGAGTGCCGCCGATCGAGACACGGCTTCGATGTCATTTCCCTCGAGGATGAGCTCATCCTTTTGTGCCGTACTATTGACACACGAGACGCCTCCCTGCATAACCACTCGGCGCACAATCTTTTCACCCAAAAAGTTACGGATCTCAACAACAGAGTTGGCCTGACTGGTGGTCACGTTAATCGGGAAATGAGCGTAGACTGTCCTCATCTTATAGAGATAGCCTTTGGTCACACCGACGATCATGTTTTCAATGTGAGAGCAGATTGTCCTAACAGTGGCCAACTCTTTACGATTGCCAAACCATTTCTGTACTTGAAGACGACGTTTGCCAATCATCTGCATATCTAATTGTGCGGTAAATTTGCGCACCAATTCACCTCTGGGTCCCTTAACCCGAACTACACGGTTCTTCACGGAGACCGTCACTGTCAACAAAAATAATAATTATTATTTAATTATTAATTTCAAACTTATGACAATTGTATACCTCCTTCGGGAATCTTCACAAACTGGTTGGCCTGAATTGTCCTCATTTTGGTCGCCGAACCAAACAATTATCTAAACAATCAATTTTAATAAACAATTAGCAAATCTTTTTACACGTGTTTGCAGTAGTTATGTATCGATGAATGACAGTATCGACAAACAAAAACAACCGACAAAACCAATATATAAGACATGTTTTGCCAAACATTAAGTATTATATAAATTAAATAAAAACTAATTGTAATTAAAATTAAATTAAATTAAAAATAATTATCACTTAAATTGACTCACCTTTTGATTGAATGGTTTTAACAGAAAAGGAAATACTAATCTATTGTCACGTGACTAATATGGTTGACATACTTTTCATCATAAAGTACGTCATTATAAACAAATTGTTTAACAAAGACTATTGCATTCAAAAAGCATACATAAAGGGGACAAAAACTATTAGTTAATAAATGCATTATTTATAGATTGAAATCATTATCAAACATGTGTTGCCCTCTATGTGTAAAACTGATAGACAATTGCAATCACATCACATGTTTGCAGTGTTTTTCAAAGTACTATCAATTGACGGATTAATTAATTATAATATAATATACGATATATTTGTATGAAATCATCGGTTAATCAAAATATCATCCATTAGTGACCACTTGATATAATCGGCTAAATGGCTGTACAATTGTTGAACGCAATCGGCAAGTTAGGTGTGGGTCTGGCTATCGGTGCTTCTGTAGTTAACTCTGCCCTTTACAACGGTATGAATGATGAAATGCATTGATATATAACTATTGGTTTAATATTAATCAAACAATTATTATTACGATATATAGTGGACGGCGGTTCCCGTGCCGTCATATTTGACCGATTCACGGGTGTTAGTCCTAATGTGGTGGGAGAGGGCACTCACTTTCTAATCCCATGGGTTCAGAAGGCTATCGTCTATGACATCAGGTCACGACCTCGCAATGTGCCCGTTATTACCGGCAGTAAAGGTATGAATTGTTTTTTTTTTGTGAAATTAAAGATAATTTAATTTTATTGTTAATGAAAATATGATTTGTGATTATCATGCGATCAGATCTGCAGAACGTCAACATAACTCTTCGTATTTTGTTTCGTCCGATTCCTAAAGAGTTGCCCAAACTGTACACCAGTTTGGGTGAAGATTATGACGAAAGAGTTTTACCATCGATTACTAATGAAATACTAAAAGCTGTTGTGGTTTGTAGTTTGCAATGAATTTGATTATCTTTAATTGTATCGATATATTTATATGTAATTGTTATTAATGTTAATCATAGGCTCAGTTCGATGCCGGAGAACTGATTACTCAACGAGAGCTGGTCTCACAAAAAGTGTCCGAAGAGCTAACTGAAAGGGCAGCACAGTTTGGTCTCATTTTGGATGACATATCACTTGTAAATTATTTTCAATTTTTTTTTAATTATTATTGTTTTGCTCTGTTAAGCAATTTATTGATTTTGAAATGCTTTAATATTTTTGAAAAATTTCGTTAACTCCCATCTATAAAGTCACGCAATTTTTTTAGGCTTTCGATAGAATAAATTGTGAAAATAAATATTTTTATAGTTTTACATCTAATAATAACTTTATATATCATATTAAAAAATCAATTTTACTGTAAGCCATGCCTACTAATCATAGCTTACAAATATTAGTCGAGTCCACTATTGATATTAAATTAATGTTGAGAATAAATCTTATAAATTAGATATTAAATAATAAATGAATTACTATAATAACTAAATTTTATTTATAAGAATAGTCATTGTATTGATTGTCCCTAAAAATAGCAACAAAAAAACTTGTATCTCTTAATAGTCATTAACCCTTAAAGCTCAGTGACCGCACTATTAAATGCATACATTATTGATTAGAAATTATATAATATTATAATCAATTGAATGGTTTGCAGACACATTTGACATTTGGCAGAGAGTTTACAGCAGCGGTTGAGCTCAAACAAGTGGCCCAACAGGAGGCGGAAAGGGCCCGGTTTTTGGTGGAGAAAGCGGAACAACAAAAGAAGGCATCAATTATTACAGCCGAGGGTGACTCTCAAGCGGCCAGTCTTATGGCCAAAGCCTTTGAATCGGGAGAAGCATTGGTCGAGTTGAGACGTCTGGAGGCCGCCGAAGATATTGCGTTACAATTGTCGCGATCGAGAAATGTCGTGTATTTGCCGCCCGGACAGCAAACACTGCTTAGTCTGCCTCAAGTCTAAAGTCAAAACTTTTTTAATTGTAGTTTTTCTCAATTTTTTTTAAACAAAAATCATTAAATCGTGTGTTAGTTATATATATAATAAATAATTGAAATAACAAATGCAAAACATATGTCTATAAAATTGCATAACTACTTGCATTAACAATCATTTATCATAACTGTATTGAAATTGGTTTCAATTCAATGACAGTGTAGAGGTAATAGAGAGACACTCTTTTAACACTTGAATTCATTACAACCAGTGCCTCAGCTTATGGAGCTATTTATTGAGGACAACCTAAACAGTGATTGTAAAAAGTCAGATATTTTTGAAGACATTAATAACGTGTTGGTGTTTGACAACCCTAATCAAAGACTGTAAGTTGTCTTATGAAAAGTAGAGCTGAAAATTGCAAACAATTTTTAAGTACCAAACCATACCATAAATATGTTAATAAAGGTATATAAAATCATTAGTAAATACAATATATTTTAAATTAGCTAGATTATTTATTAATACTAAACTAAAAATTACAATACTTTTTAACCAAAGCTAAACTAAAAGTAAAATAATTATTTAACTTAATATTATTATTTCAAATTAAATGATTTTATATTATAATTTTATTATAATGTTTCATTAATTTATTTAATTTTTGTTTAATAAAATATTTAAATATATTTAGTTCAATAAAAATATTAACAAAATAAAAGTCCAGATAAGGAACCGACCCATAACTCAAAGTGTATCAATGGTTTAGTGTTATTATACAGTACTGCTTGTGTTAACGTATATGTTGTTGAATGGGTTGGTATAGGGATTGGTATGATTTGATGGTTGGGCTTAACATTCACTAGAAATGGCAGTATATGTGTGTTGTGTTTGTTAGCAATTGTGTTGATGTTTGCAATGTCTATGCAATTGTTGAGCTAAAGTCGTAACGCATTCACAGTTGTATTGCAAACACATATTAGTTGTGAATCAAGTGTTTCAATACATTCATCACAAATGTTGTGCTGTTGTGGCCACTGATTGCATACTAACGGAGCCCACGGGTGTCCAACCATTGGCCGCACCGACCGACACACCATATCATCAAATGGACTCGCAGTCCATCATCACTCAAGTGACCAGAGATGAGTGCAAAGACACACACGAAGGCATTCATGAATACAGATCTGATTCAGAAACAGGTCAGTAATGGTTAGGCGATTGTAGGCGCCTATCATACATACCAGTGCTATGCCATACCAGTGCTTTCACTATGTTTTTGTGCGCTCAAAATGGCAGTACTATTGAAAACTTTATTAATATCACTTTTACCTGATCCCCGACAATACTACCATTAAGTCATATTAATGCCATACATATCCTATATTTAATGTTATATATATTGGACACCATTTGATGGCATAATTTGCATATATATGACACACAATATTATTAGTATTTATTTATTATTACTTATTATTTGCACATTTCATTAATACATACATCAAATACCAAACATTTTTTGTTTGTTTATTACTTAATATATATATATATTTAATCATAAAATAAATATAAATTGTTTTTTTTTGTTTTAATAGAAAAAAATTTACTTTTTATTATCAATTTATTAATTGATATTTTTATCAAATATTTTTTTGCATAATTATTAGATATATATTAATAAATTATTTTGAAATATCATATGTGAATTGATTTATCATATATTGAATATCATATATATCATGCATTTTATGTTGTTTTTAACATTGTTTCAATCAAATTAATTATATAATTATTGTATCCAATATTTTGTTTGGCTTTTAAAATTTTATATTATATTAAAAGTTATAAAATAAGTATCAATATATTAAAACAAAAATTAATAGATGATTTTGCAAACTGATTAACTTATTATTATTACTTAATTTAATTAAAAATATACTAATTTTGTGATTTATTATTATTATAAATCATATATATTTTCAAACAGTTTAATAATATGTCAAATTAAATGATTTAATGGGTGTTAATTTAAATATTAATACATTTTATTAATTTTTATTATATATATAATTTTTATGATATACAGTATATTTTATTTATTTATATAATAATATTGATAATAAATTTCAAAAATATCAATTTGGTAATCAATTTATTTAAAATATATTATGTTAAAATATTTTATTTACATATATATTTAATTTATAATTTTTACATTTCTATGGGCTTATTTGTTTTATTATTAATATATAGTTTTTGTATAGAAAATGTCAAAAGTTTATAAAATACAGTAAAAATGCTAATTAAAACTAATAGTAAATAACCTCAAATTTTATATATATATATATATATATATATATATATATATATATATATGCCATAATTTTATTTAAATACATTATTTGCAATGAATATTAAGTTGTATGATTAAAGATATATATCTTATTTAAACATTAAATTGGACCCTAATTTACATTTTCAAATTGATTGATATTTATTTATTATTATATAACTAATAGTAGCTATTAGTAATACCTTTTATTCAAGAATATATTACTTATATAATAATTTATCAAAATTGTATACTTTTTATGTATAAATCGTATTACTGGATGCCTTTACATTCAAAATAATAATATATATTACTGTATACTAAAGACATACAATATATTACAATACAAAGTATACGTTTTTTATACCCATATATAAAAAATTTTATTATTAAATTAATATTCAGATAATTGATTTCATTTAGTTATGCGATAAACTCTTAAATGTTTTGTTATTATTAATGTTATTAATTATGAAAAGGATGCCAAAAACAACTAAAAACTTAATAATTATATATAATGTTTATACATATTATACAATAGACAATAAAATTAATGTTAATTAATATAGGGTTTAAAATTGGTTTTTATTTGAAGCAAAAAATTGCAACATTTTGTGAACAAATATATTAATGATGTGTTGTTTGTAACTCTTTTTTATTTATTTTTTCTATTTTGTTAATTATGTCTTCAGCCTTCAAGATAATCAAAAAGCCTAAACATAAAAGTATTTTGAATACACTTTTATGTTGTTTTCGGCCCAACTATAATCACGACAACTCATTACACTCAGAGGAAAACGGACAGTACTTTCCTAAGGTATGTCTACTACTCTCACTACTAGTAGGTCTTCTTACTATATGTTGTGATCAATAATTTTTTATTTTATTTGAAAATTATATTTATTTTTTTTGCATACAATGTATTTTTTAACTGACAAAAAACTTGCAAACCATAAGCACATTGTTTTACATTATAGAAAACCATAGATTTTAAACACTTGAATAGATAGTCGTCCCTTAAATTTATGTTTATTTAAAGTTTCTTTTGAGAGGAATTTTGTGGTGATTTGTTGCCTTTTAAGTGTTTATTTTAAAAATGAATTTTTCAGTCAAAATATTTGAAATAATTTTTAAACTGAAAGTCACACTCATATTGCACTTTAAAATATATATACAATATATAATGTATATATAAAAAGCAAAGGAGTAATGAATTGTTTATAATAATATTTTCCGTTATATTTTCAGTCACAGGGAAAGTATTTGTTGCCATCTATTAAAAGTCAAGACTCGCATAAAATATGTTTAGTTATCGATTTGGACGAAACATTAGTCCACTCCTCATTCAAAGTTAGTGACAATAATCATACAAATGTTTGATTATTAAAGGATCAATTGAAGTGACAATTGCTTTACATTGTTGTTTTATTTCTGTGGTAAACAGCCCATCAGTAATGCCGATTTCATAGTTCCTGTTGAAATAGACGGTACTATACATCAGGTTTATGTCCTGAAGAGGCCATATGTCGACGAGTTCTTGCAGAGAATGGGAGAACTCTATGAATGTGTATTATTTACCGCCAGTTTAGCCAAAGTATGACTTATTATTACTGACAGTTAATGTAATTATTTTTTAATATAATTTTGTTATTTGTTGTGTTATATAATGTGTGTCCAGTACGCCGATCCCGTTGCCGATCTTTTAGACAAATGGGGTGTATTTAGAGCGCGTCTCTTCAGGGAGTCGTGTGTTTTCTATAGAGGAAACTATGTTAAGGTTTGTCATTCATTGCTATATAATTTGTCACAATTTATTTTATGGTATTTTATTTATTTATTTGTTTTTTACCGATTTAGGATTTGGGTCGTCTCGGGAGAGATTTAAATAAAGTTGTTATTGTAGACAACTCTCCCGCATCCTATATTTTTCATCCGGATAATGCTGTAAGTGATGCCAATAATAATAATTATGCCAATTAGTTGTGTTGACTAATAAACTATATATATATATATATATATATACATTTGTGGTGATCAGGTGCCGGTCGCTTCCTGGTTTGACGATATGACCGACAGCGAGCTAAGCGATTTGATACCGTTTTTCGACAAATTAAGTAAAGTTGAAAACGTCTATTCAGTTCTCAGGAATGCCAATAATAGCCTGAACTCGAGTGCAAACAATATTCAGCAACAATTGGCTGCTAACAGAGCGCCAATCAATTTAGTGAACAACCTGTCGCCGACTACTACTTCATGTCTACAACCCATCCATCAAATACAGAATGGATCGACACCACCACCATCTTAGTTGTTGCTATTATTGTTAATAATAATTGTGTTTAACAAAGAAAACATGAAAAAATCGATTGGTTTTTTTTGTTATTGATTACATATATATACTCTCAACTCATTTGACGAACTGTTTTATTATAAACCCATACACGGATCCAGTTGTTTGTTTTGTTACCTCTTTTGTTTGAAAGTTATCATCATTTAAATGATTGTTTGTCTTTAAAAGCTTTTAACGATATTCAGCAGATCGTGGTTTTTTATAAATGAATGATAATAATAATGAACTTCTTTATTATAATTACTACACATTTGCCTTTTAATACCGTCCATAATAACGATAATAGAGTTGTTAATAATGATGATAAATAATAGCTTCTAATTAAAAGGTTGTTTATGTTTGACTTAACTTTATATATATATACATATATATAAATAACACACAAATAATCTGCAGCTGATATTTGGCTATTATTTTTATGTGATTTGTCTTAATTGTTATCGATTTCTCCGATAAAGTCAAATGGCAACAACATCTTCAACATTATTATTATTATCTGAAACTATATATATATATTGTTTCAATTTGTTAATAGCGATATCAACTGAAAATTACAATCAAATTACATGTCTTTACACCAGTTCTTCCTAATAATCAGACAATTATATTGTATTTCTATACTGAAGTCATCATTTAATCTAATATAATATGAATATTATACGAAAAATATACATATTTTTATAATAAGCCAAAAGAAATCATCGAATTTTATCGAATTCACTCCAGAAATGGTTTTATTTGAAAAATTAAAAAACTATAAAAAGTGAGACTATTTTTACATATATTTTTGATATTAAAATAATACTAAAGAGAGAGAATTTTAAAAAAGCAAATGTGTGGACACAGTTAAACGGTATAATTGTTTGTGTAAATATCAGTAATGAAATGTTTATATATAATAATTGATTTATCGATTGATAAGGATTTTATATAATTGTGTAATATTGATGCCCAAAATATACATTAATAATAATAATAATGATAGTTATAAGTTATAACTTATATGTTGATGTACTTCCCATTTAGAAAATTATATTATTATTTCCCTTTTCATTCAAGTATAGGGTTTAGTGCCATAACTATTACAATGAAACAGTACTTTTCATTTATTATATAATTACAGATAATTGGTCTCTATATAGGATTTTAATAAGTGAGCTGTTGTTACATTATATAATTAAATTTACATTAAAAACTATATATTTCAGTGCAATACTAATGCAATAATTTCTCCCAATAATGTCTTAAATTATTACTATTATATTATTTCAATTTTCTTCCCATTAGAAATTGTTTAAAATTTTATTTTTAAAAATTATTTGATATTTATAATTAAATGTTTAGATAAATAAGTTTATTGTATTATTTAAAGAAAATATATTTTTGCATCAGTATTACGGATGAATTTTATTGTAAATATTTATATATTTTTGTGAATTTTGCATAAAACTTTTGCATAGTTTTTTTTATTTTTTATTTTTAATTATCATTTAATTAATTATTATAATAACAAAATTCTCAGTCAAAGGTGCAAAAAATGTCAGATTTTTTGTTTTAAACGATTAAACGATTAATTAATATATTGTGAAATCAAGTGACAGATTTGGCACACATTTTGATTAAATTTTCAAATTGACTGCAAATATATGATAAACGAGAGGACAAACAGGCATTTGATTATCAATTTTGATTATACTATTAATAAAGATGTATTATATATATATATAAATGTTAATATTTTAAATTTATAAAAAATACAAAATTGTTGCCTTAATTCTTATACATATTATGTAATAATAATAATATGTGTTCCCTTTTTATTGAAATATTAGAAGAGATAGAAAAAATATATTAAAGTAAATGAATCATAACTTAGAAAAACTTTTTTATAATTAATGAATATTAAAAATTTTGTTATACTTTTTTGAGCTTTTTTTATCGGTCTATTGATCCGTTTTTAGTCGATTTATAACAGAAAACATCTGAGTCTACATTGAAATATATGATATATCAATACATTTTAATAGTTTATATACATAACGCCAAAAAATCAATTATGAACCCCTAATATACTGTATATCGCACCTAATTTTATCACAGAATTTGTTTATTATTGAGTTTATATTTTATTTTGTATAAAATGTATTCATTAAAAATTTTTTGTAAACGTATACTCTATTTTAAAACCTAAGTATTATTATTATAAAAAAGTTGACAAAATCTGTGCCTTTAATGTTATATGTAATAAAATATGTTTGATTTATAAATATATAAATATATCATTATAAATATTGTAGAAGATGTCATTGAAATTTTAACATTAATTTAGATTTTATTGTAATATATTTCTTTTAAAAATAAAAATACAAAATAAATATTACATATGAACCCAAATGTATTATTATTTATGTTTACATAAATGTGTTAAATTTGGTGACAATCAAAGGTTTGTATCAATTTTTCCATAAAATTACTTTATTTAATGTCTGAATGTCGTCATAAACTTATTTTATTTTTTATTAATTTTGACAATAAATGTTTCAATAATCTGATTCTGATTTTCAAATAACATTTAAGATTTATATATATATATATTTTGTTTCGGATTACATTTACCTGTCTCCTAGTTTGACGTAACCATTTACAATACTCATGTATTTATCTATCAGTTACTATTGTGGGAATAACTTTTTTATAATGTTTTATAAAACTGTATACTAAAATTGATTTTTGATGATATAATAGCAATAATTAGAAAATACAAACAAAAATATATTTGAACAAATTGTAGGTGTAATAAAATTTACATAATTTCACTAATGTTTTCTTATTTGTTTGGTTTCAAAAGCCATAATTTTGTTGTCTTTTTTTATTTATCTATATTTGTCATTATTATTATTATGGTTTATATCCATAAGATGTCATTTTATGAAGACTACTAACAGTGCAAATAGTGTTCAAATAAGTGGAAAAGGCTTTACACATAAATTGGTGCCGACTCTACAGGTAGTGTAGGCTTCAAAATAATAACAAAAAGTTAGGTTAGTGGTGGTGATGGTATATATATATATATAAATGTTTATATATATGTGTGTGTGTTTGTGTTTTATTTGCTCTCAAATATCAGTTCGACATTCAAAACGATTAACACATTTTTGTTGTGATTTTAGCTCTCGATTTTCATTGATAAAACATAAAACATACAGTACTACTGTATAAATATCTGTAATAAATTAATTTTTTTAAAAAAGGTTTTATCGCACAGAAATATATACAAATAGAAAAATACATTTTTTATTTGGAAAACATACTAATTATCTTTCATTTGATATCACAGTATATTTACATTCAATAATTAGTTAAAAATCATTGATTAATACAATACAATACAGAATTTGTTCACAAAAAACACTAATCACTTACATATATATTTGGTATTTTTTAATACACAACTTTCAAAAAATTGTTTGCAATGAAAATTATAAATTAGATTAAAATTATTTTTTCATACGAATTACTAATTATTAGAAAAAAATATATAAAAACTTTCATATAAATACTTAAATGTGATATAAAACAAATGTTAATCAAATAAATAACAAATGTTTTGTGAATTTTATGAGTGTTTATAAAACTTTAAAATAGTATAAAGTATTAATTAAAAATATTTATGATATGTAAGGAAAGGTATAATTTAGCAATCGGTGTGATTATTGTTGGTTTCGATTGAGGCATATATCGGGTCTATCCGTCTCTTCATCTCAATTCTGGCCTTTTGTCGGACAGCTCTCGACTCCCAGAGTTTCCTCATTCGCAACACATAATAGAGTAGGAATACCAGTGCCAGGAATATGAATACAGTTAGCGCTATATTAGCCCAATAGAGACCATTTTTATCCAATTCCTCGCAGTTAAACATAAATGATTTACAATAACTCAGTGGCAAATATATAGCCAAAATCAAGTTTACAATACACACAATGGTTAGTATTGTAAATATGATTAGCCATTTAAGCCCTGGTTGTTCACACGATATAACCATTGTTTTTAAATTTTTAATAAAGACATTATTCAGATGTGGTACTAATAAAAATTATTATTCACATAAAAACCATCTAATTTTTGTATAAATTACTGTCCACACAGACACAGACACAGCACACTCCCTGAATAAACGACTTTTAATCAAATAAAAGTTGCTTATAATTTCACGCTTTCATAGGTAATAGCAATCAAACAAAATGGTTTTACAATAAAATATATATCATTGCTGTGTAATACCCACACACACACACACACACACACACACACACACACACACACACACACACACACACACACACACACACACACACACACACACACACACACACACACACACACACACACACACACACACACACACACACACACACACACACACACACACACACACACACACACACACACACACACACACACACACACACTAATGACATAAAATATGAGTTTACTTTGGAAACAAATACATTATATGATTATCTCTATAGTGGCTATCATTAGAAAAAAAGTTTCAAATATTTGCTATTTATAATTATCAGTAATTCAAATGAAATCAAATAACAAATTAATATAAATGTTATGAAAAGCTATAAAATTACTGAAAGATAGATTCCGGTGACATTGGAGGTGCTGATGGTCTGACCAAAAAGTATTGTTGACCCGACGGCATAAAACCTTGTGAAATAGGTATTGTATAAAATTGTTGATTCAATCCATTGGTTTGGTTCGCATTGATAATATTAAAGCTATTTTGTGAAGACTCAAAATTGTTACTTTGAGTGCCATTGCTTACAGTTCCGTTCATAACAGGCATTTGCACCGGTAGTAAAGCTATCGGTGCATTGTTATACATTTGAGAGTTGGCGGGTCTGTCCATCACTTGTACTTTTTTTCTGCCCCAACGGATGGCAAATATGAATATTGAAACCGCAATTATAATCAACAAAATACCAAAACATATCAATGAAATGCCGACCGCTTGAAAGGCTGTTTGATCGAGTGATGCTCGGGTGACAACACCTAACAGACCGGTAACTATTAGACCGAATCCCGAAATTAATAAACAAAGGCTGAGATGCGATGCCGTAAAGACTCCCAAAAATTTGGTATTATTATTATCGGGAAATGCCAGTCCCGGAGCTACGTATGGTTGCGGCGGCAACTGTAGGAATGCCTGTTGTGGGCATTGGTTAACATTTGTCGCATTAGTATTGGATGTCATTAATAGGTATTTTTTAATAACATTCTTTCAACAAAATTAATCCATAAAAACCAAACATTTATTTATCTATAAAAGATTCAGATTTTTTCTTTATTATTATTTAATTATGATAATAATTGATGACAAACAATTCAAACAATTCAAACATTTATCTAATATTTTATACAAACAGACAGTAAAATATATGAATACAAAATTAATTTATAAATATAAGTTCAATATCACAATTAATGAATATTCAATATAATGATTTTGCAATCTTAATGCATTACTAATAGACATAAATGTATAGATTGTATTTTTGGTACCGTATATGTTGTTATAATGTTAAGGTTTGCTATTAATATTTTCCTATTGAAATAGACGTCAATAAAAAAAATTAAAATAATGATTTTTTATGTATTGTATTATACAACTTGTATATTAAATTTTGTACTATAAAATAAATATATAAAAATATAAAAATCTTTTTTTTTTGCTAAATAACTATGGAAACGACATTGAATTTAGCATGCTAAATAAAACATATCGAATATTTAATTTAAACAAGTACCAAGTTCATTAGTTGTAAATATTTTCAAATAGACTGTATATATGATATACCGGTATATATAACTTATATATTAATAGTTTGTCATCTCAATACTGCAATGTTAATCGATGCCAAATATTTTTTATTTACTGTATAAACATTTTGATGACAAATTCAAATCATACGAGACTAATGTCTAATGTAATGTTGATAAACAAATAAATGAAAATAATTTAAATTAACTAAAATATATAATCTAAAAAATGCAATCTTTTTTAAGTCTTAAATTTTATTTTTCTAATAATAAATAAAGTTATGCATACTTTTTTAATAATTATTTTTTAGAAATATTGATGAGTTGTAAAAAATATATAAAAACATTAGAATGCGGTTATAATATGATTTTCATTTTAACTTTATTTCAAATAATTTTTGTTTACAATAAAAATGCTTTTAATTTGTCTAAAAATAATTAGTTTGTTTGTAATTTTTACAGCTAATTAAAAATAGAGAAGAAATATTTTAACAAAATAAAACACTTTTTTATATTTACAGTATTCATAAAAAGTATTTTCTAAGTTTAAAAATAATATAACAAGAAATTTGGCGTTAAAACAGAAAATTATTTTCGCTTTTAAGAAATAAATTTAATATATTAATAGTTTATATTTATAAACCATACAATTGTGTACAATTTTATTTGGTCTTCACAATTATTGTTAACATAAAATGTTATATATATATAATTATATTTTATTTTAACTAATTTTCAATTATTACAATAATAAATAGATTAATTTACAATACTATTTTTAATAACTATAAAACATGAGATATTGAGAAAAATAATTTATTGTAAGTAATGGTAAAATAATTCTCATTTATTATCATTATATTCATGAATTTCACGGAGACATTGAATTGCTAACTAAAAAACTCTACGACAATACTTTTTGTTGTCAATAATTTGATTACATTATCAATAGTACTGATAATATTGTGTAACAAATTTCATGAAAATAAATGCGAATCTATTTACTACTACTCATCACAACTTATCAATAAATCATTGTTTTTTATCCCATCATTAATCTCTTATTAATGACTTAATAAATAAAAAATAAATTAAATTATTATAATTACAGTATTTTTTATGAGTGTAATTTTTTAATTTTCATATTACCGGTAATTTACAAAATAATATTTTAATTTATAAACTTAATTTACATTACATTACAGTATATAGAATGAACTTTTTATGAAATTGTAAAATTAAATCATAATTTACATTCATCAAAATAAAAACAAAATGTTACCTAGTATAAAACTATAAGATTACAAAAAAAATCATTGATAATTTTAAAAAATACATTTAAGTTAATTAAGATAAAAAATGACTTGATATTTTAATAATAATAGTAGATTATTGAGTTTAATAATAAATAAAATTTGAAATAAAAATTGAATTTAAACTTGTACATTGTTGTATATTGAGTACATTAGCCTGTTTAAATTATTACATTATTTTCAATTTAAGCAAATAACAAAATGTTACAAAATCTAAATAATAAATTACCACAATTAAATTATAAAACAAATATACTTAAATTTATGCAACTAAATGAGCAAATAGTAAATAATATGCTTTTTACAAAAGGTTTATCACAGATACAGTATATAAGTATATTATGTTATTATTATAAGGAGTAAATAAATTTGTAATAATAAATAGATAAATACACCGATACACATACAAACATACATACATACATACATACATACATACATACATACATACATACATACATACATACATACATACACACACACACACACACACACACACACACACACACACACACACACACACACACACACACACACACACACACACACACACACACACACACACACACACACACACACACACACACACACACACACACACACACACACACACACACACACACACACACACACACACACACACACACACACACACACACACACACACACACACACGGGTGCTGCCATTCGTGCATTAGATATTTAAATTTAATTATATTACCAAATATGGGTTCAAAATAATCTTATTGTTTTAAGTCACTTTCAATTATCATAAAACTAGTTGCATAAAATTGCTTTTGACTTCATTTGTTTTATCATATATTATTTGGTTAATAATCATAATATATTAAATAAATATATTATAATTAACAATTGCTAAAAAAATATTAGTGAGAGACAAATGTTCAAAATAATAATAATAATAATTAATTGCTGGAAACACACACAACACTTTAAATATTTTGTATATTAAGTAATTAATGAACTAAATTAAAATATTAACTAAAATAATAAACCTAATAATTAATTTACATATTTATACCTAAATCTATAGTATTTAATTGTTTTATTCCACAGGGAATATATAGTTTGTGTATCACTGTCCGGGTGTCCAAACAGCGGTGGTATTGACAGCTTATCGCTGGACAGCCACTGTTCAATTTCACGATCACCGATAGCCAACTTGGTTGACATATCGGTGTGGGTAACGCCTATATGTCGGGCTAAAACTCCCGATATATGGACGTCGTCGACCCAGAAGTAGGAAAATTGTCGCGAAGATATGTACAGTTTGAACACAACATCGGGTGACATAAGGATACCCCAACCGGAACAATACGGCGGATAATACTTTTCTGGATATTCCTATTATGTAAATAATTATTTCTTTAGCAAAACTTTTAGTAAATTTAAAACTAAAAATTTTTAAATCTAACCTTAAAAGTGACTCTCCATTTGCTTCTTTGGCTTCGCTTTGGATACGGATTGTTAATAACATAACAATTAATCAGATTCTTTGGCGGATATGAGTTACCAAACGTGCCCTTCAAATAATAGATCAATTGAAAGATGTCGACAAAAATATCATCATCTGTTTTGAAGACATATTTGGCATTCCGGCAGAGATAGACAACCCATTTAAGGCCCATTACGTGTTTGTACGTCAAGTTCCGGTAGCTATCGATGAAGTTTCCCTGAACTATATCTGAGTATTGTTCGTATTCTTTGATTAGATTCTTTTGGACGGAATTATCGGTAACCATACCGACGAGGAATACAAGTCTCATTCGTATGGTCTTAAGGTTTGCTTCATTACCCCAAGTTTTACGGATGACTTCACGCTTATCGAAATGATTGGGAGCCGAGTGGACAAAGATAACCAAAAATATTTCATCATCTGAACCGAGTTTTCCGTTATTATTGAGTTCAGGAAATTCAAGAGAACATCGATTAGTATTCATTAGAAATTTAAAGTCTTTTATATCGATAAGTGTCTTAAAGTCATCCTTCATTAGACTGGAGATATCGTATGGATTTGTCGTCAAATTTATTCTTTGTATGTGATAAGCATTCTTCATGGGTTTTGTCGCTTCAATCATCTCATTTGTGGTCATATAGATATTGATGACAAACATGTAGGTCAGTCCAGCAAACAGTATGATTCCCAATGCAAATGATTTCATCTGTTTTGTCGATAGTATTGTTGTTGATCTCAATAATAGACTCGGCTTAGAGTCATAATAGTTACTGAAATATATAAACATATAAGGATATATATATCGTGAGATTTCAATCAATATATTTTATCAAATAATCAAAATTAATATTATATATATATATCAATTAATTACTTTTTTTTATCGAGAATTTTCAATGTAAATATACTATATATTTTCAAATATACTATAAGTTTCAATAAAAATAATAATATCAATCATTATATAATCTTTCAATAATTTAGAAGAAAAAACATTAAATTGGATATAATGATAATATACAGTATTTCATCAAACATTAAATAAATAGCTATATTAATAGAAATTATTTTTATGATTTTCAGTAATATTAGTCACAAAAAATAAATAAAATTTAGAAATAGTCACTCAAAATGCATTGAAAATCAATAATAATTTTATAACAGAAGATAATAACAACAGTAAAGTTGTGAACACATGTGAAGACTATTATGATATCACATAAAGTTTACATTTTAAGCAAATTAATGAGTTTTTATGTATTTTTTAGTCGTTGAATAATCAATAAATTATGGACTAATTCATTATCATAGACATAATAATAAATATTATATTTCATAAAAGTTTAATATATCTCTAAATTCAAAAAATAATTATCCAGTAAAATTTTATCTTTATTATAATATTATATGTATAACATTAATGAATAAAATATTAATGACTTACCGCAACAACAAAATTATTCAATAATTTTTAATGCAATCAATATTTAACTATCATTTCCATGTATATAAATATATATATGATTTATACCATAATATAAGTTACATAAAACTATATAATTAAAGCATTAATTACAGCCAAAACATGACATATTATAATGAATCATTGAGTTAGTCGACTGTGAATTTAACAATATTAATTATATTTAGCATATTTTTTTGATAATACACAGATAATTGCAATGACATTGATGATGCTTAATTTATTTATAATATTAATAAAACTACTCTATACTTGAGATATTATTCAAAAAATATTACAGTTGAATAAATATTAATAATAAACTATAATACATTAAAAGCATCAAAATATCATATTATAACATCATAAAAGAAATATTAAATTAATATTTATATATAACTGATGTTTGATTAGAAAAATATATATTTATATTATAAAAATCATTGAATCGTATAAATAATGATTTATTTATAACTAAATGTTATTCAATGTATTTGACAGTCAATTGATGCCATCAACAGATCGATGACTGACTTTTAGTTATTTTTTCACATTTTTTCCTTATATATCTTTACTATCTATTTATTATCATTTTTTTAACTATAATTTTATATTACAAATTGTAATTTACAATATAACATAATTTATAAATCTATAAAAATTGTAAATAAAAGCAACAATTTGCGACATAATATATTAATGATAAAAATTATTAATATATAATATATAATACTTAAAATTCGTATAAAAATATTGAATTACATTAAAGAAACAAAATCTTTAAATATGAAACTTTGAATATATATAATATGATAAAAATAAAATTATAAGCAAATTGTTAATTAGATTTTGTAATAAATTATCATATGTTTTGTTAAACCGATTAAAATCAAAGAAAATTAAAAAAACATTATAAATAATACATACATTGAAATCATTTAATCAATTATTAGAGTTGATATCAAAAATCAATCAATTAATCACTTTTTTCAAAACATTAATATCGTATTAATCATATTTTTTTTTATAGTTATATTGTATTTGATATTTAAACACATTTTATTAAATATTATTATTATATTAATTATTAATTTTAAATCTACAAAATAAATTCATATGATATATGATATACATATTTAAAGATAATGTAAATAAATAATTGGCACTAAATTATGATTTTTAAAAATTATATATAGATTTTATCATATATTTGGTTAGACATGTAGTTATATCTTAGGGTTTTATGAACACATAATTGTATGTATTTTTATAATTATACGGATTATTGTTATTATTATTAAAATTAATTTAAATGCAATTTGAAATCAAATGATAGATTTGTGTGTTTTTTGTGGACAACACTTGTGATGAACAAACTGTTTGTCAAACAAACAAAAAACACAATCAATTCATTTGGATATGAGATGAGAGAGAGAGAGAGAGACTCGAGTGTCGATTAAATCAATAATGAGTTTATAAATATTTTTTAATAAAAAATACATTTATATTATATATACAGTATTTGTCATACATTTGATACAAACAAACACAACAACAATAATATTGTCTCATATTTTGTCTGTAAAAATCAATTTGACTGACACTCTCACATGTGTTTCACTAAAATAGCAATAATATTATTATTAATATTAATAATAAACACATATTGTGTTACACTTGAAAACAGTTAAATGTATCACTTATTTGCCCCTTCAGGTGACCCCCACCAGGGGTTTACTAATAGACAACAATTATATCAAAATTAATAGTTGTTTAACAATATATTTGACATTTTAATAGATAATTGCTTAATATTATTGTTTTTCAATAATAAATTATCAATTTTAATATAATTTTAATATAATTATAATATTTTATTAACTAATTAATTATTTACTCAATTTTATTGACATTTTTGTAACACGATTTCAATTGTAATAATTAGTATCAAAACTTATGTTACATTTTCAGTGAACCGTTTGGTTTGTTTGAAACAAATTTTTATTTTATTATTTTGTATACAATTTTTTTGCTGACAATTAATTAGATATTTAATTATCGGTTTGTTTTGACTGATATTAGAGTCGTTTAACTGTTAAAAACAAAACAAAAGACAAATAAAATGTTTTTATATGTTATTGATGTCTGTATTGATGTCTGTATTGATGACAACAATAACTAAATGATTGATAACTTGAAACTTATTTAAAAGGATTAATCAATTGATTAGATTTGATGACCGATTCTACCATCGATTAAGCCTTTTATAAGTTGTGATCACTTCTTGATAATCAATGTCCGGACCATTAGGTGACAGTCAGTCCTCAGACGACGCCATAACCCGTAAGTTTAACGCAACAAATGCTAAAAGGATTGCATTGCTTGTCGTCATTGCGTTGATTGCATACCACGGAGTACTGCACTTGACTTACGGTAAGTGTCGACCAATTGATTTGTTTGTGACCACCAATTGGTTTATTATATAATTTTGTCAGGTATTAAATCATGTAAATGGCTCTTAAGTGACGGAAGTTTTCATGGATTCGGCGATTATAGTGTTTGGCAGGTATGACAAACTCACCGCTGATCCTAATGTGTCCACTAATGATATTAATTGATTGTTATATTAACTGTTGTGTCAGCCGTACGGATGTATGATTCATACATATAATAAAATGTAAGTTATATATGACTTATATTTAATTGATATGATTGTGTCTTAAACTAACAAATTATGTCTTAACCTAAAGTGATAGTCGGATGTGTTTGCGATACATTGCCTATTGGGGCGGAAAGAATCACATCGTGTTTTTAGGCGATTCCCGTATAAGACAACTATACTATGCCTTTATCAAGACATGTGTTCCCAATGAGAATCTCATTAACACTGCCTACCCGGCCCACCATGACTTAGAATATAAGGAAAGAGATCTTAAACTTGATGTGCGCTTCCTTTGGCACCCAGTTGTCAACGAATCGATGACCAAAGTTTTCACCCAATGGCTTTCGCTGCAAGTGTCTGAACGACCTAACCTTATAGTGATGGGAAGTGCCACCCATTCAATCAAATCAAGCAATGCCAGTGTCAAAGCTCTTGAATATTACCGCAAGAATCTCACATTACTTATGCCAAGTTTGGACAAACTAAGCGCTTCCAGCAAAATACTTTGGGCTCTTCAAGATCCAGTGTCATCGGAAAAATTGGATGTCGGAAGGGTTATGATTACTAATGAACAAATAGATGCATATAATAAGGCTGCGATGGAAATACTTAAATATAGCAATTCTAATAACGTTCACATCTGGAGCTCGGCTCGACTCGTGGCTCAGGGATATGCATCAGATCTGAGTAATCCCAATGAGGACGGCTTACATACAAATAACAAGGCTCTTAATTTTGCCGCACAAATATTATTTAATATGTATTGTAACGATCAGATGAATTATAATGACGGAACCTGTTGTAGTGATCCCGAAATAATGACAACATTGCAAATAATTGTGTTTATTGTCTTCACATTATTTATAGTAATCGCAACCGTTATCCTAATTCATAGAAAATATTTTGCAAGAAAATCATATAAATGGCATCTTTTGGTTAATGAAGAATTAGATGAATTAACAGATAATAATAATCCAAGAGTTTTGAACACAGAAATCAAATCATACTCCGAACTGATGATATGTTTAGCAAAAATAGCTTTAATTATGTTTTATTTTTTCCTATGCGACAGAACCAACTTTTTTATGAAAGAAAATAAATACTTCACTCGACCCAACTTTTTCCTACCAATTGCTTATGTTTTTGCTTTGGGTCTCTTCTTTACAGAAGAATCTTCGCATACTATTGTCTTACATCGCGACCAAACAGATGAACTTAAAGGATGGATGCAAATGATAATATTGGGTCTGTCATATAATATTCAGATTAACTGTATCTGAATTTAAAATTAATATCTTAATAGCTTATCATTATACCGGTGCCTCTCAAGTATTGACCATTTATATGCACATACGTGTGTTGGTAACGACATACTTATTCCTCAGTGGTTTCGGACATTTTACATATTTTTGGCAAACAGGAGACATTAGTTTTCATCGCTTGTGGAAGGTTTGCCTTAAGTGATAACTATAAAGAATTAACTCAAAGATTATTTAGCAATCAAACTGTCATTAATTGTGGTAATTATTAGGTTATATTTCGCATAAATTTGTTGGTTGTATGTCTATGTCTTGTAATGAACAGACCGTATCAGTTCTACTACTTTGTACCGCTGATCTCGTTCTGGTATTTAGTCATTTACACCACATTTTATGCCATTCCACACGTAACGGCTGCCAGTGCTGAAGGTATGTGGAGATTGTGTTCAGTGAAAGTTGGTTTTAATAAAAATTATTTTAATATAACATTTAGCGAATCCAATTCAATATCTTTATATGGTATTGAAGTTTGTAGTATTGTTCAGCATTGTTACCATTCTATATATGTCCGAAGTATTCTTCGAAAAGATTTTTTTGACGCGTCCGTGGAAGGCGTTGTTTGTTACCACCGATGACTCCATTAAAGAATGGTGGTTCAGATGGAAGATTGATAGATATGTAAGTTTTTTAATTATATATAATATTTGATGTAAAATATGGTTGAATGTCATTAACCACTTGTAGAGTGTTCCGGCCGGTATGCTATTCGCTTTTGGCTATCATTTACTTAAGAAGCATCACATTATTGATGACAACCATCACGGATACCTGTTTTCAAGAGGAATAGGATTTATTGTTGCCATTGCATCATTTGCTGGTATTATGGTAATTGATATTTTGGATATTTTGTGTAATAAATTGAATTAATTTAATATTTCTGTTTTTAGATGTATGTTATATTTACAATGATGTGTCGCAATAAGCCTGAATGCAATGAAATACATCCATATATTTCATTTATACCGGTAATCTATTTGATAAATCTATAATAATATTTGATATTAAATAAAAATTGTTTAAATATTTGCAGATTGTTTCATACATAATATTGCGTAACATATCAGGTCTGTTACGGGTCCGTCACAGCACTTTCTTTGCAAGAATCGGCAAAATATCTCTTGAAGTATAAGTATTAATAATTTTTTTTCTATAATAATAATTATTTTAATTAAATTTATAGCTATTTATATGTCAATATCATATATGGTTAGCGGCTGATACTCACGGAATCCTAGTACTGGTACCCAGTTATCCAGTTTTAAATGTGGTCATCACATCATTTATATTTATATGTATCGCCCATGAGATTCATAAAGTGACTCAAAAGATGGTTAAATATGCCATTCCTTCTGATTGGAGATATACGACAAGAAATATAATCATATTTTTACTATTTTTAATTCCTATCGGAATTAAAGACGGAATGTTTTAGTCCAATATCTGTGATATTATTGATTATGAAATTATAAATTGAAATTATTATGAAAATTGTAGATTTTGTTATAAATATTATTTACATTAAATATTTATTATATTTATTGTCAAACATTTACTGCTTATGTTTAATGATTAATGATAATTTGACTAATTTTTACAAAATCATTGCTTTTCAGTGCCAAACAAATTGCTGATTTTCAATAGTGTTAGTGTATTTGAATTAATTTTAGTTAAAAAACAAATAGTTTTATTAGACAAATCATTGAAATGCCTACGAAATACAGTATATGTCATATACTATATGACATCAAATGCTATATGTTTTTATACGCGCTTTTAACTCATATACGGTATATGTATATATACTGTATATATTATTAATATTTTCAGTGTAATTAAATACTTTAAAAAACTCATTTTGAAATAAAATTTGAGAATATATGTGTTATATTGCTATATATTATATAGTACAGTATATAAATATAAATGTATTATTTGTTTTGATATTAAATTACACTTTGAACAGTTTCATTTTGCTTGTATATAAATTTATATATATAATATATATAAAATGTTACATATATTTGATATAGAATTTGATAAAGAGAAAAAAATGGGTAACTTTTCAAAACTATTTATAAGATTTAATACTACTAAAAGTGTTATATAAAGTTACCTGAGAGCTATTGTTATAGCAATTATCTAATAATATTAGTTTAGAGTTTAACTTCTATATCTATAATACATTGCAGTTGTGTTCAACACTTTTTTGTAATATTAATTTATTTTTAGTTGCCATTAATTTTATTTAATGTCTACAAATACAAATCTATCAATAATTTGTTGATAATATTTGGCAATAAATTATTTATTTTAACCTATAAATTAATTTTGGTTTTTAATGTGATTTTTAAAAGTGAAAAAAGTGATAAAACACACAAAATATTAGGAATGAATAATATATCGCGAAAAACAAAGTTTAACCGTAACTTCTTCTTCACGCGCTCTGAGAGCCGTTACGATAAGGATAAGCGACAGTTGTCTAACCACCGAAGTTATCATATCGGAAGGTTCTTCTCGTTGATCGGCAGTGCCATCATTGTGTGCGGACTGTTCTGCAAATTTATATTTACTAAAGACATTGAAAGTAAGATACCTATTATTACGGTATGTGTGGCCACGTTTGGTGCGGCCGTTATGTTAGTAGGAATAGGCTTTTTAGCCTTTGCTGTATATAAAGCGCAGATAGCCATTGTCAAGCAGTCGGCTGATGGCGGCTCAGTAAATGCCATTCCCGGCTCATCGTCCGCTGGAGGCTCGCAAATGTCCAACAGTTCCAATAGCATCGATACGATACCTAGAGATCCCACTAAAACTGATACCGTGTCCATCAGTGTCATCAATTCAATTATTCGCGGCAATCGTTAAGCATCTCATAAAATTTTTAATTCAATAGTTTATTTTATTAGTGAATGACTATTATTTTTTTGTGATAAATGTTTTATCACAGAACACATCAAAATTGTGATATTATTTTTTTGCTATACTATGCAGTATTATTATTATAATAGTAGTAATATTAATTATAATTTATTTTGATAACTATATTAGATTAATATTATTACTATTATTTCAATGACACTCACGTCAATGTTTTATTGTATATTAATTATTGATAACTTTTTAATTAATACTTTAACAAAGTTCAAGAATATTCTAATATAAATATATTGAAAAAATTAATGTAAATATTATTTCAATTAGTTTATAATTTATAGGAAATAATTAAATGATAACTATATATATATATATATATATATATATATATATATATATATATATATATATTATTTAAGATTAAAATGAATCTTTAAAAATGTCAAAACACTTTAATCATCTAATTTATAACAATAGTGTAAATATTTGTAATTAATTATAACATTTACTAGGATTTTGTAATATAAACTGTTGCCATTATTTTTATACAATAAAGCTATAATTCATGAGTTTTCAAATGCTATAAATTGTAATTATGTTTATTATTAAAGTCAAACACAGAAATAACATATAATAAATCAATTGCCGGTAAATGTAAAAATTTTAACCTAAAATTAAGCCAAATCCTAATGTAAACTTTAGTGTATATAACAAATAATATTTACAATACTTTTGAACAAAATTTTATATTATAGTAGTATTATTGCACTTAGTTTACAAAGTTATAAAATAATTTTTACATAATAAGTTCAAAGTTGTAAAATATATTATATTTAATTGAAAATAGTATTTGTTTTATAGTTTTACAAGTCATGGAAGTGTGCTTTAAATGTGGAAAATCAATAACAATATTATTTTATGGGTTTATTTGCACATTAATTGCCATCACATTAATCATTTTATCGATAGTATTAAAATTTAATTATATCAAGAAAAATGAAATTAATTCAATGGCAATAACTAGTTTTTCAATGCTTCTCATCGGTGGTATTATGTTGGGAACGGGAGCTATACTTATTGTTAAATATTTTTTCTTCAAAAATTAAACTTAATTATAACTTATGATAATTATTATACAGTATGTACTGTTCTGTAGATTTATACTGTTTATAAATAAAATATTAATAGCAATATCAATATTAATTTAAATAGCAAATTACTATAAATTCTAATGAATTATATTTTGTATATTTATTTAAAGTTTATAATATTGTTAATACAGTTATAATTGTATTAATTTAATTTTATTAAAGTGATGTCTTATATAATTTAGGATGACAATTTGACAATTTTTATTTAATCGTTATATCATATTTTTGCTAATAAATAACATTTAATATATAATTATAACTATAAAAATAATTATCAATACATATTTTAGTCACCAAAATATGTAAATCTGATACTATTATAATAATTTAATAATTTAATTAGTATGAAAGCGCGTGCCTATCAAGTCATATATATATTATATATTTATAGTTTAAATATTAGAATATAACAATAGAATAAATTAATATTATTTAAAAAAACTATTTTTATTGTATCTATAATTGATAAAAATCAATGAAATGTCTAAAACGCAAAGTTCCGTATCAGAGGATAAATCCAAAAGTAGTGATGAACTCAAAACTAAAAACAAAGATAAAAGTGTTGATAAAAAAGATGATGAAAGCAAAGTCAAAGCTCAAAGTCAGAGCAAAGAATGTCGAGATGTCGATGAAGACAAAGATAAAGACAAAGATAAAGATAAAGATAAAGACAAGACATTTAAATTGCCGGATAATGACATCAATTTGCTAAAGCAAAAGAACTATACCATTGGTGATGCCATCAGCAGCGGTACATTTTCGACGGTATGCAAAGCTTTTAAGACAACTGATAAGGAAAAGGAGACGATTGCCGTTAAGATTATTAACATAGAGAAGTGTTCGGAAGATGTCAAGAAGAAGTTCATTCCTCGAGAGTTATACGCTATGACTAAACTAAAGCACCCGAACATCATTGCTGTGCTCAACATTTTTACTATCACTAATAGAGTCTATGTGTTTATGGAGTTGGCTCAGGGAGGTGATATTCTGGATCTGCTTAAAAAGGAGACATTAGGCGAAACAAAGACAAAGTGTTTATATAAAGGGTTGGCCGAAGCCATCAAATATATTCATTCAAAAGGTTTTGCTCACAGAGACATCAAATGTGAGAATTGTTTATTAAATAAAGAGCGAACAGTCGTCAAAATCGGTGATTTCGGGTTTTCGAGGACTTGTTTCGACACTACAACCGGACAGAGAGTATTGAGTACAACATATTGTGGAAGTATTGCTTACGCGGCTCCAGAAATCTTAAGCGCAGAACCGTATAATGCAATGATTAGCGATGTCTGGTCTATGGGTATTGTACTCTATGTTATGGTTGAGAAAGATTTACCTTTTGATGACAAAGACATGAAAAAAATGATCAAATTTCAGAAAAACTGTAAATACGGTTTGAATGACAAGCTATCGGATAATTTTAAGGATCTGATTCGCAAACATCTCGAACCGGATCCCAAAAAGAGATACACAATAAGTCAAGTATTGGATCACAAATGGTTTAAATGATATATAATTCAAATACTGTATTAAATTATATATACAGTAAAAGTTTATTCAATATTCAATACTAATGTTTAAAAAACTTGTACTATAAATGTTTTCAAATAAAAACACTTTATTATTTTTAAAAATATATTTATAAATATTTAAAATTAATTTTTTTAGATTTAATATTTAATTATCTTTATATTAATTGAATGAAATGTCGGAAAATGATTTAATGACAGGAAGGCCCTGATTTTGGACATCATATTTACTATTTGGTCGCTTAATAAGTATTGATTTAAAGCCTGAATTATAAGCACTTATAGCCTCTTTAGGATTATCGGTGATGTAAACTATATTTTCTACTTTAACGTCAATTTTGTCGGAAATAGATCTATAAGTTTGGATGTTATTCTTCGGACCGATTGTCGCATCAAAGAAGTCATCGATTAGATGGTAAATATTTCCGTGATTTGTCTTCACTAGTAATAACTTTTGGGCGCAAATGTTAGCTCTTGAATACACAAACAATTTGATTTTCGACCGGACTTTCCATTCGTGTAAAGCATAGGAAACGTCTTTATAAATATTGGCCAAAAGGATATCGTTTTCACAGATGTAGACCCAACACAACAGATGTGCCGTTTTCAGCGAAATTGTTGACAATTTGTTGTCCATTTGCCACAGAATGTTGGCTTCGGCCGACTGAACGACAGGCTGTTGGTCGTCGCTGTCAGCGATTGGCGGAATTCCCGCACATTTTTCATTGCGAAGAAGTTTTATTAACAGTTTGGTCGTCGGACTGTCAAACGTTTTATTGAGAAAATCATTTATATTATTTCTTAGAGCCGGAAACAGTTTCTTTGAGGACCAATATCTTTCTACTAAAGTACTCTCCAAATCCAACACTATGGCCTCGGGTTTGGCTATTTTGACGGACTGTCAATCAAAAACATACATTTTGTATGAGACTTATAATGTAATAACTACTATACCTTTTGGCACCAATTCCAACACATTTTATTGACAAAAAAATACTTTAAAAAATTTATACACTGATAATCACAGTTTTATTACAATAACTATTCATTTATTGATTCAACAAATCAAACGATATTTATCAATCGTTTAAAGATTTTATAATAATTTAATTATTCTTTATTTAAATTTCACGAAATATAAAAAAGAAATTAATTGTAATCTAATTTTTAAAAATACTGTATATTCTAAACGTTAATCTAAATAATAAAAAAAACTGAAAGCATATAAAAAATTTATATTATCTAAAAATGCAATATTAAAATAATATACAAACATTTTTCATACAAATATTATTGTATTACAAAGTATTGTCATATATTTATTATTAATTAAATCTAACTTATTTTAGGCTAAAATCTATATTGTAATTATTTTAAATCAATTTATTTAAAAAATGTTTTCTAAACTTTTTCAAAAAACCATAGCGTTATTTGTTTAATATTAAGTAATATCAGCTAATTTGGAGAACAGGTAGAGAAAAAAGTTATATTTGGTTATATAGTTATTGAACGGTAAGTGTATACTATACACTGTATAGCATTGAGGGATTGGGAGAGTTAACTAAAAAAAAATAAGTTGTAAAACTCGAACATTTGAAGGCAACTCATAATTGGACGACAATTGCCTCATGAAATCAGGTGTGTCTTACCTTACAATGGCTTAAGTCTTATAGCTCTCACACACAACTCGCAACCCAACTGTCCATTTAAGTCTTAAACAGTAAAACAAGTGTTTTATTAATAGATCTTTTTCGTTGTTTTTATTTATATTTTAATATTATTTTTTATAATATACTGTTATATATTAATAGTTATTTTTACTGTTTGTTTGTTTTTAATTAACGAAAGACAAGACTTTGATAAATGAATGAATGATATAACTTAGCAATTGTTTCAATTAAATCACTAAATGTCTTGCATTCAGACAACAACTGTCTCTCATTTGACAATATTTGTGACCATTACTGCAATTTTATCGTAAGTTTTAAATTAATTTATTTAAACATTCAATATATTTATATATATATTATTATTATAACTTATGTTTTCTGTGAGTTATTTAAGCATAAGTTTTGATAAATTAAAAAACTTTTAATAAGTGAATAACACCATAAAAAAGTTTTTTGAATGACAAGTAATGTTAAGTTTTAAGTTTTTTCATATGTATTAACAAAAAATCTATTTAATTTAATGATCTTTTAAAAATAATTTTATTAATTTAAATACAATATACTGTACATTATATGTGGTATATCTACTGTACTGTATATACAGTACATGACTTTACTTTTGAAGTTTAATTTTTTTATGAGACACTCGAGTCTCAAAAAAGTTATTGTCGAGACATATATGGTGTCAATTGAAGCATAAATGAGTCCATTAGTTCTGTACAATCTCTGTCTCGGGTCACATAACTGTTCCCTCTTATAGATATATATTACAACTACAAAAAAATGATGAGAAACACCATTGAATTGTAATTACATATAATATCATTGAAATTTCTTTTTTTTTGATACTTCCGACAAACGGTGCGCTATTGTTGTCGACTGATTCAGAAATAACAATAGATATAAATGAAGAAAATAACAACAAAAGAGTCGATGTCTTGAACTCCGAGACATTCATTTGGTTTTAAAACTTATACTTAAAGCTCCTCTTAAAACCCAAAAAACAAATCATTAAACAGTTTTTCTTAAAATTGTTGAAAGTTGTGTTCACTTTTTTTGTTGATAAAACAAATGTTTTAAAACTATTGCAAACTTTGAAAACAATTATTCAAATTTTTTTATTCAAATTGATTGCCAATAAATTGTTATTTGAAAAATCTAATATAATATTTAATCAATTGTTTTTAAACGATAAAATTATTTTTTCTTAAATGTAAGTTTTATTTATCTTTATTTATAAATAGACAATAGATTTATTTTATTATAACATAAATTTTTTATTGCCTTTGTTTGCTATTTATTTATATAAGTTTTATCAAATAAATAAAATATTGAAAATAATGTTAAATGACATCTGAATTATAATTTTATTAAAATAATGATTCTTATTTAATATTATTAAAGTTATTATTCTTGTTTAATATTCAAATGTTATATCAATATTTATTTAGTAAATAATTATATATTGAACTAAACATAATTACATAACTAATCTTATTTGAAATATAATTAATATAATTTTTATATTATTAACTTTTTTTATTAATAAAAAAATTTCCCAAATATTATTTGATTACTATATTATATAACCTAAATATTAAATCAAATCATTATTTTCTTTTTTAAAAAATGCTAATAAACTAATCAAACAAATATTTTTTGATATTTTTTTAGAGTCAACTCATTTACACCCAGAGAATGGTTAAGAATAGGATAATAATCTCTGTTGTAAAACAAGATAACAGTCCCAAAATTAAGTATCTATAGGTGCGGACACAATGAGCACATTAACGGCAGTCCCTTATTATTACGGGTCTCACCATTTGGAGGAAAAGACACCGAAACGGTACTTCACATTAGGAGTATTGTGTTGTTGTATATCTGGATTTGTCTTTTTTATTGGAATTATTTTAATGGTAACTATTGTTAAATTTCTTTAATAATATCATAATATTTCATATTTAAAAAACATAATATAGATATTATAAAAAGTATTAACATATTTATGATTTGACTGATTAATGATGTAATCATTATTCAACAGGTTTTTGGTTCATCGCCAGCACATCCCGAAGCCATTTGGATAACTGGTATAGTGTTTCTCCTATCGGGTGGTCTACTTTTCTTTCTGGGCATTAGCTCTATTGGCCTCTATCTGTCCAAAGAGGATAAGCGAAAGCGTGACCTCGAGATGGCCCGAACCCGACACTATGCCTCCAGTATAGCTTCGGCTCGAAGTATTAGGTCTAGTGATATATACCTCATTGACTGATTTGATATATACGCACAAATAAAACAATACATCCGTCCATTGAAATCATTTAAAAAAAGTTTTGATAAAGTGTTGAACAAAGTATACAATATATACATTAAATTTAGTATTTAATTTGTATTCTGAAAAAATTTGTTAACTATTTTCTGTAAATTATTTCTTTAATATAATATATAAATTTATATTAATATTTATTGATAAATTCATATTATTTTGAATTTAATTTAGCTATTTAGTCATTATAAGAGGTCTATTTGACCCTAATTTATATTCATATTTGTATTTTTTAAAATCAAAATATTATTATTATTATTAATCAATGTAATCGTTTAATTTCGTGTTAAAATTTGAATAATAAAAATGATTGATTTTATTAATAAATTAAAATTTTTGTTTTTTCTTATGAAAACTAACAAAAAAATATATAATTAATTGTCAGAATAATAAAGATATGTTTATATATACATAGCATGTATTTCTTTGATGAGATTATCTCTAATCTAAAGAAACAAAACAAAAATACAAATAATCTTTTGACTGAATTTAATTGCTATTAAAAGTCACGAAAAATATGTTTATATTTTTTCTTACTTTCATCTCTAATGTTGACCTCAATTTTGGATGCAAATAATAAACAGCGGGTAAATTGTTAGCTATATATCAGATAAACATATTTATAAAAAAAACAATAAAAACAAATATTTATTATAAACACATACACAAAAAAAGAGTGTAACCATAATTAGCTAAACTGAAAAAACCATTAAATAAGGTAAATAAACAAATAAATAGCATCAACAACATTGGGGGTAAATAACATAAAATTTATTATATATTTTATTCAAACTCTCATTAATTTTTTGTTTGTGTGATGAGAGTACATGTATTTTCTATATTAAGACAATAATTTAGTTGTTTATTATATAAAATACTTTTTTAATAGTATTTTTAAAATTTTATTGTGTGTAATGAGTATTTAAAAAACAGTGAAAGTTTGTTGACCGGAGGAGACCCGTAAATATCCAAATTTAGGAGTCAAGAGTACCAGTAATAATATATTATGTGAATTGAAAATATTTGTGAATTTTATACTCAAAGTATTGAAGATATTATATGATATTTAAACTAACATTTTATGTGTACTTCTATTTTATTTCTAATTTCAATGAGTCTATTGATAGCAAAGTTTAGACTAATGTGTTTGGTTTGTCTAACAATTTAATAGTGTTTTCAAATTATATCTTAACATTCAATATCTATTATGTGTTATAAAGATCTTAGCGATTATGTTACTAAAGAAATACAGTATAATAGAAAACACTTTGAGATGATTTTGACTAAATATTATAAAAAATTTTAATATAACTTAGTTTTTAGTAATTTATATTTATTAAGATAACTTAATTAAAAAAATGGAAAAAAAACTTTTAAAATCCAAGATTTTAACATTTTTGATTGACAATCAAATGCCAATTATAATGTTTTATATACTGTATGAGTTCAAGTGCTCCCTTTTATAAGTGTTTTGCAATCATTATTTTATAACATTTATTTTCTTTAATTGTTCCCATTTTTTCGAGAAAAATTTTATTTTTCATAAGACATTTATGTAATGATAAGCGTTATATCAATACATCCAAAATGTCCAAAACACTGTTACGTAATGGTATGCCTACTTGTGGCACACATACATACATACATATATATATATATATACATACATACATATATACATACCAATAGATACTGTAAAAAGTAATTTTTTGTTAATATTATTACAACGAAAAATAGTATAACAAGTCTTTGTGTTTTTCTTTAATTAATTATTAGTTTTTTTTTAAATGTAGTAATGCTTAAAAAACTCTAGCTTTCAGTGGCATCCGGTTTACTCATACAAATTCATTACAAGTTTATTATATATTATATATCAGGGTTAAGCAAGTTTTTATTTGTTTAGAGAGTTACTGGGAGGTGGGGGTTGACTTTTATTGCATTTTAAAACTTAATTTTATCAAATAACACAACTCTATTAAATTATAATATTACCGTAAGATAGAAATTTGTTTTATGATAAATTTTTAGTTTTTTATTTGAAAAACATGAATATTTACAGTATCATTTTATTATCATGATATTAATTATATTAAAATAATATTCTACCTATGACATAATTATTTTTTAAACATATAGTTCATTTTTAAGATTTTAGTTACATATTTTTATTAAAATAATGTTATATTTAAATTAATTTTAACCTAAATTTTACTTAATAATTTAATGTAAATAAGTTATAAAATCATAATAATAATTAATTAAGAAATATTAATTAAAATTTTACCCCCTATCCCCCTCCCCATCGCTTAACCCCTGATTATATATAACTAATATAACAGTAAATTATTGTCAAGTTTATGGCTACAGAAGTGTTCACTGAAGTCTAGAAGGACACAGAAAAAGGGGTTTTCATGTGATTATGACAACTAAGACATGAGTATTACCGCAAAATATTATATATTTTTACAATATTGATAATGCATTTATTTTTTGACAATTAGTATTATTTTTTTTAAAAAAATTAGTCTAAAAATTAAATGTTTATAAGGTTTAATGTGAATCACAGATTAACCAAATTTTCAAAGATTAGCTGTCAAAGAGCTTGTGATTAGAGCTTACAATGAATGATCTTTTAGTTGATTTCGATGACGAAATAGATGATGATATGGGTTGGTTGGATCCGATGGGAAACTTATGGATTCCAGATCAGAGAGGAGGGGGAGGAAGACTAATGCCTGTAGTACTTGATTCAGTTAAGAGTGATTCAATCAATACTGGTTTCAATAGTGGGCTAACAGGTATTACATCAAAGTGGGTATTGGGAGTAAGACATGTGCCCCATATGACGTCCCATTCACTCAATCACAGAATGCATTTGAAAGCAACCAAACAGTTTGACTCCAATGTCTTCAACTCTAATGTAGTCACGAACAGCGGTTCTGTTAGTAAACGGGACAGTCAGTCGTCGAGAGCACATCCCATGGATGACATTGAAGAGGAAACGTCAGATAGAAGTGTTGAAACGTTTCATTCTCACCGCAATACCAATGCTGTTGACTATAGAAAGACGAATAAAATAGACAAATCAGTGATGGATCAGATGGTGATCGACAATAGAGCCGCTAAAGAAAGATGTGAAAAGTCTGTGAAGAATACTCACAATAAATCAAAAACATCTAATAATAATTGGATGACCAAAATTGCGTCAACCGATACACCAAATGTTATCATTGATGTATACGACAAAAGATCTAATTGTGATAATATTAAAACTAATAATAACACTAATAATTATAATATAAGCAAAAATATATCATTTTCATCAATGAATTATCCAACAGATGTTTCCAAAGTTATCAGTCCTAACAATAAACTAAAGTAAGAATAATAATAATTTTAATTAGTATTTATAATAAATATTAATAATGAATGAGTTATCTAAAACTAAATTTCATTTTTTAGTTATTTTTTATTATTCATATATTTTACAATTTAAATATTGATATCAATCATGCAATTATCATAAAAAAGTTATTTTTAGATTATACTAAATCATTTAGAGTTAATCATAATATTATATCATATACAGTATATATATATATATATTATATTTTAAAATTTTCTAAAAATATTTAACCTTATAAACATAAAATTATTATTATTTGTAGTTTCTTTTGTATATACAATATAATAATCTTATGATATTTAGTTGGATAACATTTTTATACAAAATTTTCGCAAATTTATGATAAAATTTAGTAAAAAAATAAAAATACTAATCTATTCAAATAAAACAAACAAATTTTGAAATTAAAGATATAACTTTTAAAATTGACATTAAACAACATTTTAAAGTAATAAATAATAATAATAATTTGTTAATATTTATTAAAATTATATATTTATTAATATGGTAAATAATAAATATAATAGTATTTATACTGTAGATTACAAAGTATTAAACAGTAAATTATTTATATAATAGTATTTTTATTTTGTATAATAAGAAAGTTTCCTCAATAATATTGCGAAATACATCTGAAAATTTTGATGTTTTGAAGCAATTTGATTAAAATATTATATATATATAAATTTTTATTTCATTTAATTTTGTGAATCGTTTAAAGCAATTTAATATTGATTGCAATACATCATAATTACATTTTAAAACATTTTTATATAGTTTCCTTATAAAAATCTAAAAAATTACATCAAACAAACCAATATTTTTTTGTATAAAAATCTATAAAATATAAGTTAAATGAACTGAAATTATGTCTATTTATTTCTACTAATTATTTATAGTTTCTATGGATAAAAATAATGTATAAAAATCTAATCTATAAAATAGTAAAATTTTATTTAAAATTTTGTAGTAATGTAATCATCATTTAGTACAAGAAAATATTAATTTAACTTTTAGTTTATATTATAAATTAAGACCTTTTCATTAATAAAAAAAATAATAAATACAAGATTTTCAAGTATTTAAAATTATGAAATACTAAATTTAGGTTTTATTTATATTTAAATTTAGCTTTGAATAAAAAAGAAAATTTTAGAAATTAAGAATTTTTTTATGTAAATTTCTCTTTATGGACCTAATTATTATTTATAAATTTTTATTATATTTTAAAAGGTTACATTATAAAATATAGAAATACCAACATTATTAGATAATTAGGCAAATGTTATATTGAATATTATGATTTTTATTTATGTTTTATAAAATTTATATTAAATTATTTTAAAAATTAATTATATAAAAAATATTAATATAACAATATTAGATTATATTAGATATATTCCATTAGTTTTTTATTTTAAATGTTTTCTTATATAAAACTAGATTTTTAAAAATTATTTCTCTCTAGAATATTTAGAAAAATTTCTAGTAGCCTAACATTATTTAAATTGATTAATAATATATTTATGATAATTTATTTATCAAAACAGTATAAATAACYATTACAGTTGA